GAGTGTGAGCATCCCCCTTCAACTCGATCCATGGGCAGACTGACGTTCGAATTCTTCCTCGACTCCAGAGTCATGCTCCTCCGCTACCACGTCGCGAATGATATCATACATGAAAGCGTGCACAGCGCGCATGTCTAGGAGATCAGACGTAGTGTAGGCTGCGAGGAAGTCGTGCCGTTCCTTGCGCGTGCGGTCGAGGAAGGCCGGCTCTTCCTCCATCGCGTCGATGTCGTCGAGGTTGACAGGGAGGTAGAAAACTTCGCGGTAGAGCATGATGCGGTATACCGAAGCGTAGAAGCGCGAGCGTTGGGCGCCGGGTAGGACGATGTGCGGCGCAGCTGTTTCTTTCGCAACCCTAAGGAACAGGGTCAGAACAATAGGCCAGAGAGAGCGAGGAACGCTACGTGCCATGCTGCAAATGGGTTGAACAGGTGGTTGGCTACATAAGCGATCTCTGTGAGCTCGTATCGTTCCTTTGGCGTCAGGAACCCGATTGAATCGTTCTCCGTTGGCGGCTGGATCACCGCCTTCTTCCTCAAGTTGTGATTGACATCAATTTCATCGTCCTCGTCTGTATCGTCTTCCGTCTTTTCCTCATCCTCATCCTCCCCATCATTCCCTTCCCTGCCTTCCTCGTCTTCGAGTCCCCACATGTTATCCTCTTTCTCTGGCACCGGATACCGCACCCTCCTGACTGCGGCTCCGAGCGCGACCCCGCCCCCATCTCCGCCCACGACGTTCTCTGCAACCGCACGCAGGATCGAAGCCCGTCGCGTTTTGAAAACATGCGCCCACGCCCGGCAGACACCCGACGCTGCGTGAAGGCTGGCGAAGTCCGGCAGCGCGCAGAGGATGTGGTCGAGTGTATCGAAGGGAACTGAGATGTCAGAGAAATGGATGCCGGGAAGAGGTTTCAGAAACGCGGAATGGGACTGGGACATCGTGGACAGGCGCAGAGGTGACAGGAGGAGACGGCTCCGTGAGGCCGTTCGAATGATATCCCTGGAGCGCTCACGTGACGCTGACATCCGCCCAATTGCCACAGACTGGTCACGTTACTCCTCTAGGTACAAAGTGTCCTTATACTGCGTTCCGAAAGTGGCGTCTCTCACACGTTTTTCAAGAAAAAAGAGAACAATTGTTCCTTGTCAAAGACTATTAACTCTTGAAAGCATTTCTACAATGCAAAACAAAGCAAACTGCGATCTCAGAGGGTTACAGTCGAACTCACTTGGGAAAGATCTTGGCCGACTATTGCGCGGCCATTTGATGACTCGGTCATCATCATGTTTCTGACCGGATCGGCACTGCGCCTACGGCTAAGTGAGTCGCCAGCGCCGGTGAGCTACGATGCTAGTGTCGGCGATGCTGATGAAATCAAAATCGCGAAGATCCGGTTGGGACAGGCGACCACGCGACATGTCTGGAATTCATCTGATTATTTCAAGCACGCCCGTGCCGTGGTTGATTCTACAGCGGGTTGCCCTCCCTCTCACGGAGAAGTGCTGATCCCCTGCTGAGTGTCGAAGCTGCCTTGATGAGACATGTTTTACATGAGTGAGGTACTCTTTCTTGATTGACATCAATGCAAGGAATGGGCGGTACGGTCTAGGTGGTGGCCAAGCAGGGAATATCCTGCGGTACTCCATATGAATCCAAGTTCTAGTCCCGTCACCATGTCTGACATACGACTGTGTGTGCTCTTGGAAGCATCGATTGGAGCCATGTCCTGCGTAGTGCTCAGCGTGGGGGGTGTGATACCATCAAGGAGTTTGCTTTTCTTTGACCGAACCGACATAATGGTGGGAAACATGATCTCCTTCTGGAATTCATGCTCGAGATCACATTGATGCCAACAGCTATGACACGCGACATGTCTGACATCTATCTGATACCATCCGACTGCATCGTCGTCCATATCGCAAGAGCGGCTCTCCCCGTCTCGGGGAATCAGGCTGGTCGATCTTGGCAGGTCAGTCATGAGTTCCGCACACTGCACCCCACGGCGAGCCGTGATCCTCACATTCAATGAAAAGCGCGGCTATGAAGATCATTTCGCAGCCTGTGCCGCATCGCCAGGGTTGTCATCCCGATGCGTGATCCCGTTCGATGCGCATACAATGTTGTTTGTCATTGTACCGCCCGAATTCCGTGATTTCCTGAGTTGAGACGCACGCGCGAGTAAATGGGTCATCGAGCACCGGGTTCGACGCAGTTATCGTCAGGATTCCAGACGGTGCGTGAGAGAAAGCAACGGAGTGTGACTTCATACAAAAGGGCTCGAGACGCTAGATGAAGGCATTCAGAGAAATACGAACAAATTCCACCTCACTCCCACCTCACATTCCTAAACAACAAGTTCCATGTCGGCACAAAGGGAAAAACACAGCAGGGTCTTCATTGCCTGCCTCAACTGCCGCAAATCGAAAGTCAAGGTACGTTCATCTGATGCTCAATGAAATGCCGAATAGTCATTGAGCGCACACATCTCAGTGCCTAAACAATAACGAAGACAATCAGCCCTGCGCCCGCTGTATACAGCGCAACCTTCAATGCGAATACGTCCCAGTGAACGTATCAGCCAGCAGCGGCATGCCCCGGAACGCCGGAGCATCCACGAGCCAGGCGGGGTATTACTACCCCGAGATGCCGATGCAATCCTACGGCGGAAACGATTACCAATACCACAACCCACCAGTCCAACAAACTCAGCAGCAAGTCTATTACGATCCCAATAATCAGGGCTATTATTATCCAAATGGGACATACTACGGCTCCGCATACCAGGGTAACTAGCATCGCCACATGACGGTAAGCTCGCTATTTCCAATCGAGTTTGCTTCAAAATTCACTGACAAGTTGAATAGTGGGCATCGGATTACCGCCTGGAGGAAACCTGACATAGTTTAGGAATACAGTACTATTTATTATAGTTTAATTTCCAAGATATTATACCACTACATTGATGCGATTGTCAGGGAACTGGACGGCGGAAGGGCACTTTATACGTAGTGGAGAAGCATAAAATTCAGTGAACCGCATGCGTGTAAGGACGGATGCCTCACCGGACAAACTAGAAGGGAGAGAAGATACGAAATGAAGGCAGGTTCAAAGACCAAGGCCAAGCGGAGTGAAAAAGTAGCTTGTCACTTGGACTATACCGGAGTCGAACCGGTGACCTCCCGCAACGCCAGGATGCTAAGCGGACGCGCTACCAACTGCGCTAACAGCCCTGTGTGGCGAGGGAATTTCGCGTTTACTCATAGTCTCTTATTAAATTGCTATTGTTATTTTATGCGGACCGGACAACAGTTCTACCGGTAAAATTCACATTGAGCAATGTATTCTGTTCAACGCGCTCTGAAGACATTTCCCCCGACAGGACGCATCGTCAAGGCCCTCCGGTTGATCCTGACTGCCCATCAGTTCCCACGAGCCACGAGTCCGGCTAAATTTGCTTAGCTTCTCCGCTCTGCCCCGTCTTCATCTCCATACTAACACTTACAGCTAAACCCGCTGACGTCCGCACCAGAGATGTCGCAGCGCATCACCATCCGTCCATACCGACCATCTGACCACCCACACATCCGCGCGCTGCTGTTCGAGGGATTCGTGACCAGCAGTACGTTCTGCGTCCCCGTCACACCACCTGCTGCGGACAGCTGAGATACGTCGGGTAGAGGACAGCTTCACATACGTCGCGCGCCGCCGATTCCTTCTTAAAGCCCCGTGTCTCCTCGGCTATCTCCTCAGCGCTAGCGGACTAGGACTCGGGCTGGTTCTGACCCTACGGACGCCCCTCCTTCCTCTTCCGCCCTTCCTCCTCCGCGTTCCTCCACGCGCAGCCATTGGTGCGGGTGCGCTCCTGTTTGGGTTGGGCGCGGCTATGGTTGGCGCGATATGGACCGGCATCCCGCGCGCAATCCGGCATTTCTGTGAGAAGGCGCTGCGCTCCGACCTCGCGCCTGGGAGGGACGGGATCGAGGGCGTATATGCAGCACCTGGAGTATTCCTCGTCGCTACCATGCCGGTCGACGGGAGTAAGGAAGGGCCGGAGGAGGAGAAGCCGGAGGAGGAGGAGATTGTTGGGTACATCGGCCTTGGTGCGCGGTCGCCTCGGAGTTTCCGATTCAGGATACTACTGACGGATATAACTAGCGTGCTACACATCCAGCGAAAAATCGGCGTCGCCCCTGGTCACCGCTGAAATCAGGCGCATGGTCGTCTCTGCCCGCCTCCGGCGCCGTGGCATCAGCACTCAGCTCATGCAGCGCGTCATCGCCCACTGCGAGACCCTATCTCCCATCCGAGTGAGCCTCAGCACGACGGAGTTCCAGCCCATGGCGAAGCGGTTGTACGAGAAACTTGGCTGGGAGGTCGTCAGCGAACGGACGCTGAAGGACGGCATTTTCAGCGCCCGGATGTGGACGCTGAGTCGAGAGCTTTGAGCTTGAAATGCATTTAAAGGGAAATTGAATTTACGACAGCTAGACGATATACTGACTCGTTAGAGGAACACAAAGAAGCACATACTGACTATGTACATAGACCTATCACTGCACTGCACGAATCTGAACATGAAATGATACTTCCACGGCATGCTAGACTCTATAGGTACCCCATGAGAATCGAATCTCCGCCGTCATCTCCCCATTCATTCATTAAAGAATGGATTCAGCGGCAGCAGCTTACTCCCGTGTGAGAAAATAAGGCAGCGGAATCCTCTGAGCCCCTTCTAGTCAAGCTAATTGGTGTGTATTGCTCTGGTTCTAAAATTCTAACAGCTGAGGCTTATGCAAATTGTTCAATGGGTGTGGGGGTTTCTATCAGGATATGTACGTCCACCTGTCGTAGAATAGAGGATGGGTGCATCCTATTGTATCGCATTCGGAGCGTCTCTATGATGAACTCGTTCGTAATTGATGCCAGGGGTCAAAGAACGAGCATGTCGTGCGGGTTTAGACAACTATTGGATCACGTGTTACGGTTGCTATAAACGAGCCGCTCATCGGCCAGAAGCCATTACGCGTTTTACAAGCTGAGTTTCAGTCTTAAACCGGTACATTAGAAATAGTAGCGCTACAGACCGCAAGACGGATGTATTAAGTTCTAAGCTGGGCGATAATTGCCCAAAAATAGCGGTGTCACACCTCAGTTCAATTGAACCTTGTGCCCAGAGTCCCTCCACGGCCCCGCATCACTCATCGTGCACCCCCCACCGCACTCACATGTGCCTCCGTACTCCTTTGGCAAATTTTCCGCAGGGATCTGCTCTAGTAATGTCTGCCGATAGTCGGTCCCGAGCACGACGATCTTCGCAGCGCTGTCGGGGTGCACCAGCGGTTTGACAAAGGCGGACATAGCAGAGATCGCCCACGGCGCGTTGATGATATAGAATTTGCCCATCATCCCCGGGTAGCGGTGCCGCCCGATCGACGCGGCGCGCACGAGGTAGTCCTTGCCGCGGTAGAACTGTCCCAGCGAGAGATTCTCGAGATCGATGATCGTGCAGAACGCGTCGACCGCGTGCCCCGCGCGCGCGGCGCATGCTGGGAGGCGTGTCTGAAGCGTGCGCTCATACTGGTACACGAGCCGCTGCAGCTGCCGCTCGACGCTGCTCACGCGATTCAGCGCGTCGACGTCAACAGTCTTGAAGCTCTCGATGTAGATCGGCCGCCCGTCGCGGTCCGTCTTGTGGAAGTACCGCGGGCAGTACCGGTTGACGAGGGGCAGCTCGGCGAAGTCGAGCGTGGCGAGGATGTCGTTCGCGCCGAAGGATCTGCGCCACGCCTCGCACGAGACGAACATCTCCTTGGCGGCCGGGACTTCGAAGCGCCGCGCGCGGAGGAAGCTGGCAACGGGTGGCATAAAGCATCAACATCATCCGAGACGCACACAACACACAGACGGGCGTGACGTACCGCAGGAGTGTCTCGTCGTCCATCCTCTCCCCGCTCTTCGAGTCCACCGCATCGCGCCTCAGCTCATCGCGTAATCGATCTAGGCTGCTTTGTTGCGCGCCCGTGAGGTTTCCGAGATACCCAAGAGCGGGCGTGTAGGGGGCAGCGGACTCGCTCTGTGGTAGCGTCATAGTGGTCGAAGAAACGGAAGATCAGGGAGGCATAAAGGAGTGTCCAAGCTGGCCGTATTTGTCACCCTCCTGAACCGCACGGCACCAAGGTAGATGCGATGCCTGCACTGGGCTCAGGATCGTTCCGTGATGATGCGCGGTCTGATTTCGATAGTTATAATAGAGGTCGTCCAGCGAATGGGAATGAAGCGGATTATGGGGTTCCGGTCTGCGTCGGTCTCGGATGGATGTGGGAAGAGAGTGAAGCGCGCGTCATCATGATGACGGCTCGGCATCATCTGAGAAGCTTGGCTGTTTCTTGGCCCGTTGATTCACTTGGTATTCGGGACCCGACGTCTGAGCATTCTCCGTGCGCATTCGACACACGTAATTTGTGGGTACGGAGGGAGAATTCTATTGTTCAAAAACAAGAGCACGTGCAGGCGCATGATGACAAGTTTACACCGTGTACAGTACAACGGCGTACTGTGTAGGATCCATGGCGGGCAACACGATGACGCGGGCGGCAGGGGCGGCAAAGCCATGAAAAAGAGTGGTAAAACATTCACGCTACCCTGAGACGAGAATGCCGGGAACACCCTCTTCCACGGCATACATCATAGACATCGTCAACTGGGACATCTTTCTCGGATGATATGAGGGCCGCAAGAGGTCCTCCGGCGTGCGGGGTGAAAGGCTGCTGCAGCTGCTTGCAGGGCTCGAGTCCAGGTCCGGAACAGCACACATCGTCGGCATCCTTCTCCGGTGACGATTACCCGTCGATCGAGTGCGTCCGGACAAGAGTTGGGCTTCTGCTACTCCACCCTCTCCCGCCGCGTCAGCCCATTTCTGTTTCTGCACATTCTCACACTGTACCTCCACCTCCGCCTCCCTGACGCCCAGGTCCCAGCGTAACACACTCAGTAGATCGCGCTCGATCCTTCCCACCTCACGCGTCGTGAACAGTCCCGCGGTGCACACTGCCCAGTGGCCATTCAGCATCGCGCCGTCCTGCGTGTACTTGCTCGCGAGCACGAGCGCGCCGAGCACAAGACGCTGCGTCAGGAGCCCCGCGAGGCTGCGGACGGCCATGGTCCCGCGGGCACGTGCAAGGTAGATCAGTGCGACGAGCAGCGTGGGTGCCGTGATCTGTGCGCGCGCGACGAGGGTCGAGACGAAGTCGGTAAGACGCCGGCGGTCGTCCACTTCGCAGCTACTGCGGCGACGGCGGCGTGGTGTACGGCCACGAGGGGGATGAGACAAAGACGCTGATTGGGGTACGGGCGGTGCGTCTCCCTCCTCGAGGGCCAAGTGTGCGGCTTCCGTGACGCAGTCGACGGTGTAGTCTGTGCGGAGTGAGTACGGCCGAAGTCATGTAAGAATGACAATGTTTACCGATAAGATATTGAGATACATCTGCATCGATGATGCGCAGCACGCTCTGGGGATGGGTGGCGGGGTCCACCAGAGACGCAGGGTGGATGCGGCTGGAGGAAGCATAGTGCGAATCACACATGAGCATGATGGCCTGGTATATGCTAGTAGAGCAGTGGAAAGGACGAGGGTTCTAAAACGCCCATGCTACTGAGGATCATGTTATATATATGTCGGACAGGTCAAAGAGCAGGTCAAAGAGCAGGTCAAAGAGCGTGGTGGAGCGCGTCTCCTCGGATGTCTTGTTTGGCAGCGAATGATCGATCCCTTTGTCTACTAATCCACGTGACCCTCTTTTTGTAGCCACAACTAGCCCTCGATCTTATCTACGAGCGATCGAAGCCATTGAGTAACTCGCAGGAACATATGCAATTGATGACTTTATCATTCCGTAGATGAAATATTATTCGTCCATTCCGTCGTCCTCGGGAATTCTGCTCGACATCACGCAGGCCTGCCAGGCGCCAACAACCAACACCGCATTCCAGACCAGCTCCGCATACGACAGACTCAGCGTCGAGCGCTGCGTCCCGGGCTGGGGCACAGCCGAGATCTGCTTCAGCAGTTCACTAAGCAGTGCCAGGATCTGCGCCACGCGGTATCGCCCCGCGAACACACCAGACCGGTGGTTCAGTGCAAGCTGGGAGACGGTCCCGGTGATAATCAGCGCGTCGGCGACGGTGGCCGCGTTGTCGGACAGACGGCCGGTGGTGTCGTTTTCGTTCCGGGCGAAGAGCGCCGGTTCGAATATGTACGTGTGCTGGAAGTCGAAAGCCCAGTAGACTAGTGTCAGCGCAGCGAACAGCTGGAGACGGTGAATCATCAGCATACGCGCGACGAATTCGTAACCGGGGGCCTCACAGAAACACGCCAGAGCCATCCCGCATCCAACCGCGCACTCGCTCTTTCCTGGTGCGTTCGTTTGACCCATCGAATCCTCGGGCCCGTGAACGTCCAGGCCAGCTTTAAAGGTGAGATCGCTCGCAAGATAAGGATGGTGGATGGCAGATTCCCGATCAAACTGTATACGATGAACGATACATCCACTCCTGGATCCTTCCCAGTTGATTGCGTGAGGATGTAGTAAATCCCAAAAACGCATGCACAGAGCTCTCCCGACACTATCAGGAGCGTTCCAGGGATGCTGATGAAGGCCGAAGTTGGGCGTGTGAACCAGTAGATGCATGCGAGAAAGAATAAAAGTGAGTTCGAGATCAGACTGGATCAAAATTGGCCTCAGCCACACGGCGGATATGCATAAAGTCACTGACGAGATCGTGAAACGGAGGAGCCTAAAACCGGCAGAAGACTCTGGGCCATGTCGATGCCCGTACACCACGCCTGCGCGAAACATCAGATCGGGCGGATCACGAGGAAACTCGAACTTGATCACCGAACAGCTCCGTCGTCTCTTGTTTCATCGCGCGCGAGAAATCGCTGTCCGTGTGATCGCTTCGCTGGGATGGCAAGATATCCAGGTCACTCAGGAGAAACCTCCGGGGAGAGAGAGTTCCGAATGAAAGCCTCCATGTGATGTTCATTGTTTCCTGAGAGGATCTGACCGCCTCCGCACAGGTTTCTCGGTTGATAGGAACTGGTACGACGTCCTACGTTCGGTCTCAATGGTGAAGTATCCGAAGGTGGCTTGACTTACTCTGGGCCCGGCACTGGATTGCAGCACATCCATGAATGGCGCGTACGCACTCTCCTCTCGCGTCGTTTCGTTGCCGTCACCGGAGGGCAGCGCAAACCAGAGTCGCGTCTCGTAGTTGACGTTGTGGATGTACCTCCGCTCGTGGCACCGAGTAACATGCCACGCCTCGCTCTCGGGATAATGCCCGCACTGTTGTGAGGTCAGTGGGCAAGATGAGTGCCGTCCATCCAGAACTCACGGCGGTGCTCTGCAACGACTCGTGCAAGCCGGTGTAAAGACTCGCGTTGAAGAGTCGTGTTTCGCGTACCATTCGCAAATGTGTTCTAACATTTCAGGACTCGAAACAGGGAGATCTTTTGATTGATTACTCACCTTGTGATGACGTGGGGGTGATTAGCTATCTCAGACGTGTCATCGCTCAGGCATATAGGAGCGACGGAGTGATATTCAACCATCGGGATGGTGAAACCGAACGAATCAAACGCCTGTTCGATGGGACGGTGGTACGTGTGCTCAGTCGAGTTGAGTGGAAATCTGAGTATCAGATGAATAACGATCAGATGCGAACGAAGTACACGCACGGGAAAGATTTCAGTTGTGGGCGAAAAAAGTCATGTGGATACCACGACGTGAAGTGTTTGTAATATGGGAGCAGCGGCGACTTGGGAATAACCACAAACGACGCGCGCAGAACATTGTTGTTGCCTTGCATCTCATGGCTACAATCACTGTGTGAGTTGGAGATCATCAGAAAGGGTGCAACGCACAAAATCTCAGTGGGGATCTGTAATGGGACCTCCGCATGTAAATTCGTGTCGCTCATCCGCACGTCGCGAAACACGGCATCCGAGAACACCACCTTTTCCGACGAGATGGCGTCGTGGTACCCGTCTAAAAAGTTCCGGTGCGTCATCAAGACCAGGCTCTTCTCCCAGACCGTCATGTTCGCCGCTGCATCGGGCCCAACGAGCTGCTCCGCAGACAGCGAGCGCCCAGCGTCGTCCCAGTCCTCGCTGTCAAATATATACTCTGCTCCTCCACCGTCCGCGCCAGCCACACGCTCACCGCCACGTCGAACGTATCCTCCGCCCCCACCAGTGGCTGCACGACCTGCGTGCGGTTCTCTGGCGCGACATCTCCGATATTTGCCTCCGCAACGAAGAGCTCGCGAGGCGGAAATTCGTACATCCGCGTGCGCGCGAGGAGCCTGAGCAGAGGGAGGAACAGAATCAGTAGGCACACGAAGACGGGCGTCGGGATCAGCAGGAGGGAGCACGTCAGGCGAGACATGCCCCGGCGCGCGGCACGCCGGGACTGTACGGCTATGGGGGGCGTCTTTTCGGGATGAGGTGCTGCTGCTGATGTTGGTGAATCCATGAGTGTAGAGAGAGAATTTGCTACCGACTTTTGATTCTGACTTGGCGGCGGGTAGTGACATCGCGCCCGGCAACTGCATCAGATAGTTACCTGGGCTGGACTCAGCGGCCACTGGCTAGATCGACCAAAGCTGTGCAGACGGCTTTCACTTGATGTGGTCAGGGTGGCTTTGTGGTACTCAAGTACGTAGGTGTGTCACCCGAGAAACATACATGGCTTCTCCCGAGAGATTGTCAGCAGAAAAAGGAGTGTCACGCTGTCAATTCCGTAAGATAACGTGACAATCAGCTTTACTGAAGCAGCTCAAAGCGGCCCCTCATGACGCTCTTTGGCCTACTCTTTGGCCTCTACTGGATATATAACACAACCTTCGGCGGAATGGATACTCTATTGCCTCGTGCTTCTCTCCTGTTCGGATAAGCTCATCATGACCATGCGTGATTTTCAAATGGACTCGTTGAGCCGCATGCACCCTGCATCTCTTGTGCACCCTGCTTCGCATTCGCACGTTATGCTGCAGCTCATTGGCATGGTCATATCTCCGCCTCTCATTGGTGAGTTGCTTCATCCACGCATCTTCCCCATGTGCTCACTTTTCGAAGAGTATACTGTCGACTGTGTTACAGAAGCCGTACGCTTCGCTCTGGACCACGATACCCGTGCATCCGCGCCGTCCTCCTCCTTCCATCGTAAAAGGACTTCCGGTATACTGGCTCCCGAAGCGCAGAGGACGACCATCGCCACCTGACTGACTTTGTTACGACCCTCGTCTCGCACGCCCAAATCACCACTCCGACACTGCTTGTCGCGCTGACGTACATAACGCGCGCGCGCGCGATCATGTCCATCCGCGGTGCTTCCGCTTTCGTCGCCCAGCGCCTCATCCTCGGTGCGCTCGTGCTCGCGAGCAAGTACACGCAAGACAGCACGATGCTGAACTGCCACTGGGCGATGTGCACTGCGGGGCTCTTCACGACGCGTGATGTGAGCAAGATCGAGCGCGATGTGCTGGCGGTGCTGGATTGGGAGCTCCGTGTTAGGGAGGTGGAGGTGTTGGTGCAGTGCGAGGGGATGAAGAAACGGGCCGATGAAGGACTGGCGGAATCTGTCCGCTACTCCGGGCGAAATCGGTCCGTGAGGCATCATCGCCGTAGGAGGATAACGACGACCTCAGTCGCCTGTACTTCCTCTGCCGGTGTACCGGATTTGGCCTCCAGCCCTGCAAGTAGTCGGGACATTGTATCACCTCGCACTCCGCAGGATGTTATACCATCGTGGAGGGAGCCTTCGAAGGCCACACGAGTGGCGATGTCCGTCGTCCGCCATGTCAAGCGGAGAATCTCTGGTATCATCGTCCCCGGCTCATAGTGTCCCTGCTACCGGATTTTGAGCTGCATATCTGTGCTCTCGCCCCCACATACACCTTCCTCAGAACATTCTAAAGTAGACTTGAATGCTTCACCTGACTTTTCCCGGACTCTCGCTATGATACCAGCGAAGGCAATTACTTCGATTCGCATCTCCCTTGTACAGTTCGGTACAGTTTGAATCATGTTTACAGATTAAGGACAGTGGCTACAAAGAACTTGAAGTAGAATCCGAGCCGACCTCGAGTTCACACAGTCACCGCTACGCCAAGATCACGTTCTTCGCTAAGATTAAGAATCCTCACCAAGAGCACATCCGAGGTCCTCCTCAATACAACGGCGCGTCATCGCAATGAAACTGGGCCGACCCATCTGCGTAGCTCTTCCTCCGGAACGTGCGCAGAATGCGCTCATCAGGAGTGTCTGGCCCGACCTCGCGCACGACGTGGTACGAGTCGCGACGCGGCAGACACATATTCTCCCGCCCAATGACGTGCGACACGCGGTGGATCTCGGCACTCGGCGTCAGTCGCTCGTCGCTCACCACAAACCGCGGCGCGCGCTCAGGGATCACCGGCGAGCGCAGGATCGCCGCGCCCTCGCTGGGCGTGAGCGGGCCCGGAGGCAGAAGGTACGCCGTCGTCGCCGTCGTTATCATCGTGTGGCTGCGCGTGCGGGTGAGTGCTAGTGGAGTGTGGGCATGGGTGTGGATGGGGAGGTCAAGGACGGGCATGAGAACAGAGAGAGCCGCTGCATGCTTGGCGATCGGGCGTACGTGGATAGCGGGTGCAGACTGGGTCGCGACGAGAGGCGGGCGACGCGTGCCGTGCCCTTGTCCATGCGTGAACGGACTCGCCCGGCGCATCACACGCCGCATGAGGTTCTCCTGGAACGCCGTGCGCGCGGTGGGATCGGCGTTGCTGGGTAGCTGAGCGGGGGCTTTCGGCGTCTTTCCGAGAGTATCAGGAGCTTGCAGGCGATGGAACGGGAGTGGCCCAGCCTCCCGCACGACGCGCTCCATCTTGTTGGCGCGCACCATTTGCAGCGCTGCGTGTTGTTGTGACGGCGGTAGATTCTCGTCGGCAGGTTGACGCGTCGGACGCGACGACTTTGGAGGAGGTGGCGGCATAGGTGTGAAGATCGGAGTAGGCGAAGGGATAGTAAATGTCTGAATACGGGGAATGAGAAGCTTTGACGTTGAGGCACCGATCGTCGATCGTTTCGCCATAAGCTAGGGATGCACCTCTTCCTCCGGCCTATTGCAAGGGGAGAAACATCAAATAAGATGACAACGACCCATAGGAGAAGTGTTTAACGGGACAAGACGATACGCAACTACGCACATGGCCAGCTGGGCCAAGGAGGCCAAAAACGATCCTTCACTGGCGGAAATGGACTATACCGGAGTCGAACCGGTGACCTCCCGCAAGCCAACATGCTAAGCGGACGCGCTACCAACTGCGCTAACAGCCCTGTGGCGTAAGTCTCGCCATAGCCATCCCGACAGATCAAGTCAAAGTCGCGGGACACCCTTCGAAGTCTATCTAGCATTCTACTCTAGATTTCAAGCAGACAGTACCTCACCAGCAGCCTCGGTCTCCACCACTGGCTCAGTCACTACCCCCGGCGCTGCTCCCGGCACTGCCCCCGTCACTTCTTCAGGCTGTGCTGTCTTCCCTGCTTCCGACCACGGACCAGCATCCGCCAACGAGCACCCCCCAGGGCACGAACACTTCCCACCAAACATGGCGGGCAGATTCTCCGCCGGAATCTGCTCCAAAAGCTTGTCCTGGTATGTTGACCCGAGGATCTCGATCTTCGACACGGTCACCTCGTCCAACCACGGCTTGATGACGCTCCAGACGCCCGAGAAAAGCCACGGCGCATTGATGATGTAGAACTTGCCAGGGTCTCAGGGTAGCGGTTCTGACCGAAGTCGGCGGCCTTGAACACGTAGTCCTTGACGCGGTAGAAGTTGGACAGCGACGCGTCCTTGAGGTCGAGGATCGTGCAGAAGTTCTGCACTGGGTGGCCCGCCGCGGCGGAGCACGCGGGAAGGCGCTGGTTGATCGACTTCTCGTACTCCGTGACGAGGTGCTGCAGCTGGCGCTCCTGCGTTGTGACTTTGTAGATGGCGGTGAGATCGATCAGGCCGAGACGCTCGATATATACAGGCCGCCCATCGATATCGGTCTTGTGGTAGTACTGCGGGTAGTACTTGTCCACCTCCGCCAGCTCTGGGTATTCGAAGTTGGCTACGAGGTCGTCGACGCCGAACTCCTTCCGCCACTTCTCGCACGAGATGAACATCTCCTTCGTCTTCGCGACGTTAAACTGACGCGCACGGAGGAATCTGTGCACGCCAAGCGCATATACGAAGCGGAGATGGAATCCGACAGGAGGGAAAATGGACGGAGAGCTGTCAGCCGCTGCTCACCCACACATAGGATACGAGTACTTACCGACACAACTCGGAGTCCGTCATACGTATGGGGCCCTCCACGAGCCAGCCCTCCTCTTGCAGCTCCTTCTTCGCCTGCGCAAACGCGCTCTCCTGCGCTGGCGTCAGGTTGCCCAGGTACCCAGGCGGGATCTGATACGTCGGGTCCGTGATGCCCAGGGTTGCGTGGTCATACGTGGGTGTCGCCATCGTAAAATTTGAGTTTATATGTGTGGTGGTATGCGTGGATGGACGATGGATGCTGGTGTGGGGCAGTCGTGTGATACGGCAGGAGAAAACAAGCTGTGTGCGTGATCGTACTGTAGTGTGATCGGAGGAGGCGCAACGATTGATGTTGATTGATTGATTGATTGATTAGATTACAGACTACTTCGTTGTTACTTCTTCGTATTCGTACGTACTCCCATAAGCTGCTGATTCCAATGGAACGGCTGCTTGATTCAGATAAGTAATGTATAAATGAAAAATGGGAGACACTGGTGGTGAATTGTTGCCGCACAAGTATTATTCAGGCTTTCCTGCCGACGGTTCGCATCTGTCGCCCTTGGAGAGTCTGAAAATGGAAACCAAGTAAGCTGCGACGTTCGTTGGATACCAAGGCTGAAAGTGGCCTTCTTGCGAGCTTGGGATTCCGTTTTGAGGGCACAGAAAAATTCCCGTCAATGACTATTTTTCAAGTCTTAGCTCAACGTGTTGCAAGTAAAGTAGCGTCAGTGACAGCGAATCGGCATCCATCGAGGAGACGATCACGAGTAATGATTCATTTATCAATTCCGCCGACGGTGCGGGCAGACAGCTAGTAAAGTACATAGAATGTGGTTGACCATTCTAATTGACTATTCAGTATGATCCTGTTCTTCACGCCGTCTCCCCCATCCGATGTAAGCTCCCAGTCCCACCATTCCCGCTGTGAGAGCCTGGACTGGAGCCGTAGCCACGACGATTCCGCCCATTGCAGCGGATTGCGCCCATGCAAACGCTGAGCCACTCCCGACAGCCGCACCATAAGCGACAGATTGGATCCAGGCCGCAGCAGATCCTTGTGGAATATAAACATACGCAGTCCCGGACGGCAGTGGAAAGAAGACGAACCTGCTGCCACACCAGTGGCGGTGAATCCCAGTATGTTGAGTGTGCCAACGAGGACAGCGGGAACGACGACTGCACCGCCGACTGCGACCAGTCCAAGCGCTGCCGCTCCAGCGAGAAACGGATGGTTGTCCCGTAGTTCCTGAATTGCACCTCCGATATTCGTGCCATTGGGCTCTATTCAGGTCCGATTAGAATAACGCTCAATCGATGAACTGATGGCCACATGCCTTGCTTGTTGTCCTGTTTTACTCTTTCTGTATTGTTTGGGTAATGAGCAGTGCGGCTCAGATGGACCAGGCTGGATAACTTTGGCACTGACCGTGGACCACCATCAGCACACGCGTAAACCAGCCCCACTCCCACACATCCAGCCCAGGCTCGAGCTGCTGCATCATATCCTGCGTGGCACGCACGACGCGCTGGACGTCTTCGCCGAGGAAGTGCAGCGCAATGCGAACCCAGAGTTCTTGCGGCGCCTGGCGGAATTTGAGTCCGAGGCGGATCGTCGCTAGCCAAGTTTCCACGCTCTCGTCCGGGGTGCCGCTGAATATCGGTGCATTCCAGTCATTGAGGTAGAAGGCTAGTTGTGGATCCATGTTCGCTGTGCGAAGGAAGGAAAGAGAGCGGAGGGAAGAGGGAAGAGGGAAGAGCGCAGGTAACTGGCACGTCGTCACCTCATGGCATCTTTATTTGGCTCTACGGGCGCTTGTGTGGCGCATGCACGGGGAACTGCCACCTTGCGACACAGCTCATCCGATGAATCCAAGTCTTCCGGCGGCAGAATCCACAGTAAACTTCCAAGTAACGACAATGTGGCAAATAAATTATGTACAAAGCCATCAAGCCCGTCTGCCTCCAAAGCCAATATATGCGCCCAACCCCATCACTCCAGCCGTGAGCGCTTGAACTGCAACAGGCGCCACGACGATTCCGCCCATCGTGGCTGATTGAGCCAAAGCGAAAGCGGATCCAGACCCCACCGCCGCGCCATACACAGAAGATTGGAGCCCTGCTGCAACAGATCCTTGTCGGCCATGAGTATCAAGAATGGGTGTCATATGCACTGCATGGAAAGGCGGACCTGCTGTGACTCCAGTCGCGCTGAAACCGGCCAAGTTAAGTGCCCCGACGAGCACGGCTGGGGCAACGACCCCATGCCGCCGACACCCACCAGTCCCAGCCCAGCTGCTCTCGAAAGCGTAGGATGATCGGACCGGAAGTTGTTCATGGCTAGATGGACAAGCAAATGGCGTTCAGAAACCCATTTGAAGGAATGGGAGGGGACTGATCACCTTGCTTATGACTTCCTTCGTCTTGTTAGCTGGGGTATTCCTCGGGAGGTCCGAGTAAAAGACGATCCAAGTCTGCTCGTGGGAGCAGGAAGTCAAAGGCACGGGCTTGAAGGCTGTAGCCAACGCCTCGTGTGCGATTGTTTCCCGGGCGGAGTTTGTGCGACGGAACAGACTCATTCCTGAGGGGTGGTGCGACAGACTCGTGTATGCCAACGGAGTTGAAGATGAGAAAGTGATGAAGCGGTCTTGTTTGAATGCTCAGCTTGTCTTCTTGTGTCAGTGCGGCGAATCGGTGCGAATTTCAGATCTCAGAGTCGAATATCTCAGAATTTTTAGGACCGGCCTACTTGTTTCGCGATGAGATCTCTCCAAGTGTAACTTGTCATGGAAGAAAAACATTTATCTACATGCCAGCGGAGGTCCGAGATATTTCCCAGGTCGGGCGATAAATTACAGATAAGAAATTCGACGATGTGCCACAGGATGAAGACTCAGAGGCGTGTCATAGGTTGAAACCTGTCCTCGTCCCAGACTCGTACGAATATCAGATACCCACAAATTCGATATATGATTGGGCGGAAGCCATAAATTCAGAGCCTAGTTTATCATTCTGATATGTAGATTGAATAAGATCGATCGAGTTATACGTGAATGAGCGGGAAAGAATACAAACAGGAGAATAGATACAGCGAACTTGGGGACACGCAGCTACATAAGATATGTACAGTATAAAGTCGAAGGATGGTTCCAGTGGGTGTGATAAGTCGAAAATTCAGAGGATGTAGGATGAGAAACGAGAAGTTCCAGGTTACAGTGTCTATGATCGTGAAAAGGTCGTAAAGTCAGTCAGTCGTCAAAAGAAAAGACGAGAGCAGCTAGTGGTGCCCCCAGTCTGATCCCGTATGATAATCATCGGTTGGTGAGGATGCAGAGGCGTCCTTGGGAGGAAAGACGTATCCGCTGAATGCATTCCAGCTGGAGGCAGGAGCAGCTGCCCGGGAGCGGTGCTGGTCCTGATGTGGGCCAGCCCAGCCAGATAGAGAAGAGAAGTTGGAGATAGAGAACTGCGCTGGGATGTCCATCTTTACTTGCAGCGGAGAGGCATGGGTGACATCGTCGGCGAAGGCGTTGCCTGACGCCCAGCTTGCTGTTCACCATCGCCGTCAGCTCCGGTAACAGAGAACGGCGGCAAGCTTACAGAGAACGACCCCAATCCTCGATCGCCCCATCCGTTCTCCTCCGCAGGCGAGTAGTCCGTCTCAATGTCATGTGTCTCTCGCGCCCGATGCCACCATGCACTTGACGTCGCCGTCTCGCGATATCGCACATTCGGACCGGGACCCGGATGTACAGGCACGTGTGTAGGATCCGGGTAACTGGCGTGCCCGGGCGGACGATATTCGGAAACGCTGACGGGCAACGACTGGAAGTACTCCTGCTGCATGACGGGCAGCGAAATAGTGTCCCGGCGCGTGTGGCCTGGCGCCCAAGGCTGCTGCTGCTCCTGAGTGTACACTGGGTCTGGGCCACGTTGGGTCGCTGGCGTGATCATGGGTCCAACGCTCGGGACGCTTAGACCAGCGGTGTGCTGCGTATGGCCATCGGGGCACGATGCCCGACCGCGGCACGGAGCACTCGATGAGCGTTTGAACATTTGAGTCAGCGGGACATCTGGGGGGAAGCTCGTTGGCGCATAGGCTTGAACCTGAGCCGGCACAGGGGACTGATGGGAAGGAACGGGGAGGACGGGGTGTACGGTGACGTCGGAGACATCTGCTGTGGATAAGGCGACGACGGCGGGCCCAGGGCGAGAAGGTCGACTTCGACTCGTCGTACGTCGGAGTTGTGAGGTGGAAATCCTCTTCGGCAGACGATGCACCGGAAGATGGACGCCTGATCAGCTTGGGTACAGCAACTAGACCTTCAGCCGAAGATGAGCGCCGGCGCTTATGATGCTGCTCAAGATCGACACGGCTCTGATCTGCATCCCAGGCAGCGACAGCAGCTGCCAACGCCGGCCCAGACTTGCCCTCGACTAGCAAATTGGCGATCTTCTCGCATCGAGCATTGTCTCGATCTCTCTTGTCTTTTTCTTCTTTAGTCTCGCTGGCCTCCTGGGTCTTTACTACCGCATCCTGACTCAGGGCACGTGCCTTGCCCTTGCCCTTGCCCTTCACTACGGCTACACGGCTCTTGCTTTTGGGAGACTTGACTGTGGGAGGCGTGACCGTAACAGTTGTCGCTCGTGTGCGTCCAGATCGCGTGATAGGTCCTGTGTTGGTCGCACGACGGTCGGTGAGGCTGAGGCGGAGGTCGTAGCACGTCGTTTCTTCGAGCGTCCTCGCTCTTCTAGCTCATCATTCGCTAGCGTCACCGCTACGTCATTTGGCGCGAGGGTATCTCGTCCGCAGCCTCATCTGAAGCAGTATTCGCTGGAGGTGGGGGTGGTTCTCCACCCCCGTCGTCCTTGATACGGCCTTTCCGCCGGCCACGAGGCTGCCCAGTATTCATGATGAATGTTGTCTGTCGCCTTGTTATATGCTCGACATGAAAAGACACAACCAAGACACGCACGCTCTTGCTGACGTTTCCGGGTCGGAACCGCCAATCGGGATACCGCCGCCGATGCTCGGCCTGGGCTGCACGTGCCTGTCCTCCCACTGCGCCCGCTCTTCGGGCTGTAGCGCTTTCCAATACTTGCCTGCACGACGCTTTTAGCCCTGCAGAGAAGAAAAACTACTTGAGAAAACACCCACCGACGATCTTGCTGAGCACGCTGTGGTTCCCCTCCACACGCTCGGGCACACTCTGGGTCCGGATGAAATGCGACCGGAAGAGGATAAACGCGTTGGGGGACGGGGGATGTACGATGGTGCACGCCGCTCCGCGGCCTTGCTCACGGGCGGCAAATCTGTGTCGAAGTCGATCTGGTCGACAAAGCCGTCGTCAAAACCATTGAGGGATGTGGAAACGGCTGCGGAGGTAGAAGCAAATGGGCCGGTGTCCGGTTGGCGAAGGTGACGCTGCTAAAATCGATGGACGACATCATCGATTCTGGGCCGCCACATGCGACCAGTCGGCGTCAGGGCGGGCAGTCGCGTCGACGAGTGGGGGCATGTCGTCTGCGTCGTCTGCGTCTGGTGGGTGTGCACGCATTCGGCAAGGGAATGGAGGAAGCAAAAGCGCAAAGGCTAATATGAGCACATACTATGAGCTATTGTTGCTCGTTCACGCACCGCCTCGGTCCCAACAGCAACCTCATCAGCATCCTCCAAAACCCCGACTTTCTTCCCTTCATCGGCCGAGAACGAAGAATACAGCAACCTCGGCTCTCGCAGGCGCACAGGCGGCATATCGCTGGTGTCTACCCGAAAGCACGATGCTAGTCCCGAGACGCGAGTCGGCGAGAGGATGAGGGTATACCAGCGAGGACGAGAACAAAGAAAGCCTAAAGACAAGGGCAAGGCGCGTGTTGCTCCGGACATCATCACGAAGCAGGGATCACGATTCGAGAAAAGCCTGAGAGGGCATGTTTCCCACGCTATTGTGTCCCGAGACAACGGGTCTGATCGATCGCTTCTCGCCGAAAGTTCCGCCGCCTTTTCCGCCGCGTAAGGCCCCTTCCGCGGGCTCGGGGTCAGTCGGCAACCCATTTTTTGGGCGCTGATTGTGGGTGCAGGACAGTGGGTGCCTTGCAATAAGGCTAGCGCAGGAACGCTCGGATTCTCAGCTGCGCTGTATGAATCTAATTGAATGGCCTAGGGAGAATATTCCATGTACGTTGATTTCATAGATCCCATAACCATGATCTCATGTATAGCACTGTTCCTTATATTAAGTCGAGCTAATGATGGGGGAGCTATGAATATGACGGATCGGACGTTTCTGGTCTTAGACTCCACCCAGGGAAAAAAGAATGCGACTTGTAGAACTCGGAAGACGCGGAACCAGGACAGCCGCCAGCGGCATGTATAAATCTGCCAGTTTGGATTGGATCCACTCGACTGCAGCACATCGGATGAGGCCCGCGATCCTCGAGGTGCATGAAATTCCAGAATGAGCTCAACAGCACTGATGATGACCGCAGCAGGTCTTGTGCAGCAGATTATCTACGATGCATCATATAATCGATTGCCTCGGAGAATACTCACATCGGTGTGATAGCTGACGCCCAGATGTCGGGAGCGGTGAGTATTCCCATTAATAAACCGGTCGGCTGATATTGCTCATGTCGGATCGCTACGCGAAATGAGATGAGCGCACAAGTTTCCACTTGTCTCAGGGTCGCAGCATGGAAATAGATAGCATGACTGGTCAGAGAATCCCCGAGTGAGAGCCTACGCTCTGAGAGCATAAGATTCTTCGGAAACGGCCGCAGCTGCATGCGAGATCAAGATACAGTAGGACCTCGTTGAGAGCCCCCCGCGCGACTTGGGATGAATCAAAGATCATGATTTCTACCGTCGCGGAGAAAATTCTGACGCAGCACAGAGATGCTGTGTAACGATCTTGCATCCAGCTGCAGCAGACCGAGCAGTGGGTGCTCAGCAGATGGTACTGCATCGCAGTTATGCCCAGTTCCCAGCCGTAACACCGACACGATTATCTGTTCGAGAAGATAAGCACTGCAATCAAAGCTTACCTCCACGCGTGCTCCCATCCCCGAAACCCGAGCCTCGTGTGCCAATTTGCTCGCACCAAATGCCACGATTCCCAATTCGGCAGTCCCCTTGTTCGCTGCAGCTGCAAAGGCGACATCACCATCCGACAGCAGAAGCCGAGATGGTCTCGCTGGTATCCGTGCATTTTCGGATCTTTGCTGACGTGTGCATGTAGGCTCCTTGATGGTTTTAGACAAGGACGCATGGTTAAGTCCTAAATATCTTTGGTGATGTTTGGAAGAGGTCCGCGTGCCAACTCATCAAATGAGCCACGTGACATCTGCAACTGATGCCATCTGCCCATTTCATTTGCGCTCTGTGGCAGGCACCAACTTATTCGGCTGGGAGGAAGGCATGAGACCCGAAATATCCCTCTGATCTTTTGTGTGTTTGGCATGTGTCACGAATGACACATTGCCGCTGTGCTCCGGGCGTCATCCAAAAGTCTGGACAAACATGCGGTTATTTGCCAGGTGGGGCATGCCGTTGCACAACCTTTGTCACCGTAGCACCGGCAGGCTTCGATCGGAGCACACAGCGGAGAGTACACATCATGTTGCACAATTTCCCCGCTTATTCGTACGATGACTATCCGGGAGCATTACAAAAGTGGGTGGGTTGGTCGCAATCTTCGTGGTATGCGTGTGTAAGACTATGGCTGTTTGTAGATTTACTGGAAAGCGTTGCGCTCAGCACGGGTTTACAAAGTCCAAGGAGTGGCCCTTGCAGAACAACAGCCAGCATATGCGAGGAATATTCTATTTGGCAAACCCGCGATTGATCGCAATTGAGATATTTGAGTGGACGAGCCATGACGTCTGGTCCGCCGCATTTGGATTTCTCATCCACCTGCAAAGATTCAAGGCAACCTATCAATATAATCTCCCTCCCCATCCATTCTCTCAAAATCCAAATCCACCCTTCTGGTAACGTATCGGTCAAAACTGCTGAAAATCCCGAAAGTCTCCGAGCGCTGGCCGTCCCAACCAGTGCGTTCGCTACCATTCTGACCGCGGAAATGCAGAATGCAGGTCATCGATTGGTGTTTACATGCGTGTCCGCTGCACGGCCGTCGCTTGTCCACCCGATCTCCAGCATCCGCGTTGTCACAGAGAAGACGGTGGTAAGCGAAACGGTCGAGGGATCAGGGCGATGGTGGGAAGCAGGGTGTATGGGATGGTCTTCACAAACCCGGAGAGGATGCGGAGCTTGAGCTCGGTGAGTTTGGGGAGATCGGGTAGGATGATCGGGAATGACAGATCATTAATGATTTAGACAGATCTGCATTCTTGGTGACCACGCATTCAGACTAGTACCTCCACAATCGAGTTCGAGCGAAGTAAGCGTGCTAGAAACGGATGCAATGAACCTCTCGGCATCAGGTGTCATCCGAAGATAGAGGGCCTTCAGTTGAGTCAGTCTCGGTGAGCCGGGACAGAAGAAGAGAGTCCATGTGGGACCCGGATCCTTGCTCAGAATCAGGTGTTCGAGCGGAGCATCCATCACAGGCTGCTGCCTATCTTCATCTTCCTTGCCACGAAACGTACAGCGGGCGCCGAGAACGCCGTAAGACGCACCATGGCCGCATATATCGTTTGAATCGGCACACACCATGCATATCCAGCAGATGCATGCCCCTCAACGCCGGCGACTGTCCCAGCACCAACAACAGTGACGAGCTCAGCTCTCCGAAAAACCATCCCATCCCACGCCTAGTCCCGATATCACCAAGCGCCGTAAACTGACGCTCATCGAGCGCAGGATCTCTGCGAGCGGTGCATCCTCTTCCGCCGATTCGGGTATGTCGAATGTGAGGTCGCGCACGTACTTGATCAAGTGCCTCGAGCACCAGAATCTCGTGAGCACGCTGATTGTGCCGGCCGCGGTCGTCGAGTCGAGGTGCTCCTCCCGCTGCGCTGCGGAGTAGTGCGCGTGCAGCCATATCTTACGGAACAGATGCTGTGGCAAGGGGCACAGAAGGTCGACACTGCGCGCAAGACTTGAGAGACTTACGGTCGTCGGAAAGCTCGTTGACGATCGTCGTATGAGCTCGGATGGGAGAGACGACATAGCAGAAGGGTAGTCGGGGCCGAGAACAGCCGAGAACATGCATGTCTTTAATTGACTCAGCAACCCATCAGACCGATGATTGTAGAGGCGGTGCTGGCAAGTTTCAACTTGACAGTGACATTTTTGCGCCAGACTGTCGCTGTTGACAACGTTGGCATATGCCAGTGAGGCAGTTGGCTCGGTCTGAGGGAAAATTTTGCTGAAATATAAGATGAATGAGGACTTTAGTTTTCTGGAGACTGCTCCTGTATATGCACTGATTTCTAGGTATCTGGAATGTGGTGGAAAGACGGTCGGGCGGTAGTACTCGTTGAGTAAGATAAGTAATTATACAGTAAGTAATGAGCAATGTGCTTCCGATTCGGACAAAATTTCATGATGCGCAATATTAATGTTCAAGAAAGAAGCGCGACAGGTCAACGAAGCGCGACAACCAACGAGCGCCCATCAAGGTCTACAGAGCTATCGCAGCGGTCCATGGTAGTTGACATCAAAAGTGATGCACCAAGAAATCAAAACAAGCCAAGCCTGATCAGCCAAATTCAAATTCCGAAATGGGGGGCAAGTAAAGTCTGTTCAACTCCGACCTTCCAAAGCGCGTGCTGTCAGTTCAACTCCACTTTCCTATACTCCTCGGGACTCAGCTTCAAGGATGAACAATCCCACAGTTCAATCTCTCGGTCGAGT